TATCCCTGGCATCTCACTCTCATAAATATAACTTAGCATAGACCTAAAAAGCTCAGACTCTGGAACCAGGCTATCTGATTTGAATCTCAGCTTTACCAATTACAAGCTGCACGTGGGAAGTTATTTAACCTATATATGCCTAAGTTTTCCCTTTTATAAATGAGGATGTTACCACCTGTCTCATAGGTTTATTATTATAATAAGACAATTTGATGTATGATAGCATTTTGAAAAGTGCTTGGCACCTAGTAAGGGTTACATGTATGCCAACTAGCATTATTGTTTACATCAGTCCTCCGGAGTCTAGATTTCAGCAGCCAACTAAGCAGATGATTAATGCTACTCCCAACTGCCCAGGTGAACCCATTGAGTCTAGAATCTTTGCTCATGCCTCCATATGGATACATTCAGCCTCATCTAAGGCTATGTTCTTCCCTCCTTGGTCTAGCATTCTCAGAATTTCTCTCCACACGTATTCCCCGGACTTTTGCTTTTATAAATTAGCAGAATCTCACACCTCCTATGATGGATAAGTCTTTTCTTTCAGAGTTTGCCTTTCCAATTGGCCTTTTGAGGAGTGCTGGGATTTGTAGTGAGAGAAAATGAGGAGTATTTGGCACAGGGTATGAAGTTTCAAGTCAACACCCTCAAGCCAGGTCATTAGAGGATCTCAATCAAAGCAGCAAGAACCTCATGACTGCCCTCATTTGGCAAAGGAAGCCAACATAAGGCCTGAGGGGTGTGGAGTACCTCGATGAAGTCATCTGAATTGTCCTATGTAACTCCATTCAATCCTCAGGGTCCTAATGAGTTCTAATCAATGCTTTTGGTTTCAAATAAGAGAGTGGTCAGGCTATGAATGCAAGTGACTTTGTAATTCAGCAATCCAAAAGATTAATATTTGAGGTTTTTTCACTTACTTTGACCTCCACCTGCTAGAAATCAAAAGGTTTTCTGCTTGTCTGTTTCAGAAGTCATAGAAAAGTCCTGGTTTATAGGTACCTTGAGCTGAGAATGTAAGAATTTCAGCTCGTAATTCTATTTTTGAAAGCTGTTCAGGCCGGGTGCAGTGGCTCACACCTGTAATCCCAGCACTTTGG